GCGGCGCGCTCACGCCGCGCGGGGCCGGGCCCGCAGCGCGGCGCCAACTCGCAGCCTCTGCGAACTGCAGCCTGGCGCCGCCCGGGCTGGGCTGAGATCCCGCGCGCTCGCGGCCCTGCGGGGCCTTTGGGGTGGCCGTGGCCCCCGGTGGCTGATGAGAGCTCCAGGGTGTCCCCGTCGGGGCAGGGGGGCCGGGGCCAGAGACCCGGCCGCGTTAAACAGCGCGGGCGCGTTGGGTTCCCGTGGCTTGACGCTAATGTGGTGCTGCAGACGTCCCGACAAGTTTCTGTAGTGTCCCTGAGGTGCTGGAAGCCTTGGGGTGACCTCGCCTGGCTGGAAACCCAGCTTCTGTCTTGCTTGCAGGTGCCTGCTGGTCTTTCGGGAAACCATTTTTTAATTTTCTTTTGTCAGCAACAGCTTGATGAAAATTGTGCAAAACAGTGTGAGCGGCCCGGATGAGGTTGTAGTTGTATTCAGCCTTGTTTTCTTCCTTAGCCTGGATTTTGGAGGGAAGGCGGAAGAGCTCTGGCTTGTCCGGTGCAGGGCGGGAGGAGGAGGACAAAGTCTCCGGACCTGCCTCTCCCTGTGTACAGCTGTCTTCTGCTAAAAGATGGGAAGCGTTCCGATGAGAGCCTTGATCCGAGGCTTGCACTTGTATTTGTCAGTATTTGCCTGCTCCTTTTTAYCTAACTTTTCAAGTGAAAATAGCCACTGTATTTCCCACAAAASAGGATATAAGCAAACATAAGGTGTCCGTGTGTGAACGTGTCTGCAGCCCCTTGGGTGTGTGGAGGTTCCACTCTGCCTGGTTCTGGAGCTGTCACGGTTGTTAAAAACGCTGCTCTTCCGTGTGTGTCCGTTGCTTATGGACATATTCCCAGCTCTAGCAGTTCTAGGCAAGGATAATTGCTCAGTGACCATTCTGGTCAATTCTGGTGCRTTAGTGTTTTCAAGTTAGGAACTCCTGTTCAGTTTGTTGGCTTGTTTGTTCATATGTATAGATGTGACACCTGAGGGGACCATAGGAGGCATTTGACCCTGTACCTTTTTCATAGTAAAGGTAGGTTATTTAGAAAAAACAAGCAAACAACCCTCCAAAGAAATACATTTTTTTCTTTCATGTTGGTTTTCTCTGGATTGGGGTTGATGTAACCGCAGTGTCTGTGCTTCCCTTTCAGAACCAAGAGCCTGCTGGTTAGTTTCAACCATGTCTGGAAGAAGGGAGATAAAATTAAGGGCCTACAAGTTTTGTGAAATTTGACAGCTGCGTTTTGCCCWGCTGAGGGCCAAGTGTGGGGGAAAAGTTGATGCAGAATTTTCCATTTGGCAATGAAGTTTTTTTTGTTTAGTTCAGTTAACTGGGGTAGTTTAACTGGTAGCTCAGATTAACCCTAGTTCTGCTGGGTCTTGTCTGCCCAGACTGCAGGAGGGTGATTAGGAGATATATATATATGTGTGTGTGTGTGTATGTGTATATGTGTATGTATATATGTGTGTGTGGGTGGGTTATGCAACTCTGAGAGACCAGAGTGTGTAACTTCTCCTGTATGGAGGATTTGGCAGGACTCTGAATGCATGATTTGTTGTTGTTGTTAAAAAGCAATGAGATTTGCAACTTCCATGGTTAAGATTTTCCTTTCCTTTCCCAGCCCTGAATGTTAATTCTCATRTTTTTCTATTTCTGAGCGGTTCTGAAGCAAAATACAATTGCACCAATTGTAGAGTATGTCAAATACATTTAGCTAGCAACACGTAGTTCAAATAACAGCCTAACTTTTCTGTGCATTCTGTACCTTTTTTTTCTGTGCAAGGGCAGTGTAGTTATTTCAGCTGTTATCTGTAGCCTTTCGGTACCTCTTACTAGTAAATATTTGAACACSTACAGGCTTTAGCAGGACAGAGAAAATTCAGGACATAAATTTTAAATAGGATTCTGAGCAGAAATCAAACAGGGAAACTGAAGATTTTGAAAACTTCATCGGAACTTGGTGTAGAACAGGTGTAGATATTTAAATAGAAAATCTTTAGATATGTAGCTACAGGAGTGACTTGAAACTCTTCAACTGAAAACTGAAGGGGAGGTTCAGTTTTATAAATAATTGGTTAAAATAGAGCTTTTTAAACACTTGTCTAAACAACTCTAAGAGGAGTCAAACTCATTTTCTGTTTCTTTCCGTAAAGGTCATGAAACTTATTCTAAACTTCTTCTTTGTTGTTTCAGATGTTGGATGAAAATAACCATCTTATTCAGTGTATAATGGACTATCAGAACAAAGGAAAGACATCCGAATGCTCTCAGTAAGACAATACTCCAAATCTACTGTGACTTGGGTGAATTTCTGTCTAGGCTGCAATTCTTTGTTTYCTCCATAGGAGAACGATGCTAGCATGAATACAAAAATGTTGCTGCAGATACGTCATTTATGACTTATTTTGTTTGCAGTGTGACTATCACTGCAAAGCTGCTATTAACTTGCAGAAGTCAAATTGCATGATGTTGCTTATGGGGACTGCATAACCAAAATGTGAAGAAATTTTGCATGTAGATTACAATTACTCTTTGGGAAGAGGTAGTTTATTTTACAAAACTTTGAAGATAGCGTGGTATAATACCAGCATAGCATAATATTTGGACAGATACTCAAATACTATACTGTGATAATATGCCAGATAAATCATCACAGTATAGTTATGGAGTCCCTTCCTAAGATGACTGGTGGTCGGGAGGGGAGTGTGTGGGGGGAAAAGGTAGGTATTTTTGTTGATGTTTTTATTGATATGAGTAGTGTGAAATGAGTTTGCATATAAGCTGATGTAGTAGATACACATCCATAATCTGCTCCTGCTTTGAAAGTTATTCTTGTAAATGYGGACTAGATATTCTAGGATGTGGTGCTAGAGCAGAAAAAGAAAAAGATCCTCCTGCAAATCCTCGGTGCTGTGACTTCTGCGAGAATTTTTGTGATGCTCTTGGTCACGACTCCTAAGAGTGTGGTGTCTTGCATCTAGGATCATACGAGGGAGGTGGCTTGTAGTGCTTGTGATAGAAACTGCACCAAACAGCCCCTCACGCTTAGGCAAGCGACGTGCCTCCTGGCGACAGGTAGCAAAATAGCTGAGAACAGTGTCACTCTGCTTCAGGTTTTCATACAGAGTTAGCTGTGAAAATTGTGGCTCTGTCTTCCCAACAGAGAAATTACCAGAAGTTGGCAAATAAGGAAGTGTTGGCAAAGACACAGGATTCCTAAACTTTTTCCTGTGTCTTTAGAACATGGCTTTACATAGGTAACTTTATTTACATGTGTAGAATTAAGTAAATTCTAATATCACTGTATTCATGGCTTTTTAATGTCTGTCTTTGTTCCCTTTGGTAGGTACCAACAGATGCTGCATACGAACTTGGTTTACTTGGCCACTATAGCTGACTCCAACCAGAACATGCAGTCGCTATTACCAGCAGTAAGTACAAAGCACTGTAAAACTAAGGAGTTGTTTTCTGTCAGAAAAGGTGTTAGAGGTACTGACACCAAACATTTAGCCTAAAATTTACTGTATGAGTACAAAGTAAAGTCATTTTTCATGCAGTGTTTGGAGTTTAGTAATCTCACTGCTTGTGTCCTCCTTGATCACAATCTGATTGGCTCAACTGCAAACTGATATTTTGGATTAAAAGTGCACAGTGCACAGGTTGTCTAGTCTGCCCCATAGGTAGTTCTTATCAGAAATCTCTATCTGCTTTTCTTACTCTATAACTGAGCCTCTTCAGAATCCTTTGCCCATTTGTATTATCAGAAAGCAGCCTCTTTAAGGTGGATAGCAAAGTGATAATACTTTAAAAGAAAACAAACAAAAAACCCCACAAGGTTGTCTGGTTACGCAGAGTCATCCTGAAGTACTGTGCAGCTTTACAAGTTAGTATTTGGGGGGATAGTGCTTGCTTTTTTTTTTTCTTTAATCTGCAGTTTCTCTGTCATCTTGAAGCCTTTTTTTTATAAAATATTGACCATTAATTTTTCCCTTTCCTTTGCTTATAGAGCAGTAAGGAAAGAGGCAACATGTTAAAATAGCTTGTTACCTGTTTGTATTATGTGTTAATTGGAAAGATTGGAGAATTATTATGGAAGGCTAAGAAGTTCTTTGATAAGACTTCTTGATGTAGCCTTGATTGATTTCTGTAAAATGAAACTAACAGAGTGTCTATAAAACAACCATTTCTGTATATTAGTTTTCACCAACTGAAATTGAATTTGTCTTTTGTCTCTGGAGGAATGTTCTGCARTCACTGCTACTAGTGAAGCCTCTTTTCAAGTTGGTACCTAGAGGGCTATAGAAACTGTGCTTCGTTATGTCCAGCCTCTGCCTCTCTGCGTAGAGGCTTCTCTTCTAACGCTGTCCTTGCAGCTTAGCTGAGGTGATGGTGGGGAACCTTTAAAAAGTTTGTGTGTATTTTCAACTAAAATATTTTTGAGGTTTAATTCATATCCTGGTTTTGTTGACCACTGGAAATGAATTTGACCTTATTCTAGTCACTGGTAGACAACTCTGTACGGTTGACTGTGATAGTATTCTCTCCTTAAGAGAAAACAAAGCTGGGGCCAAGAAGGGCTTCTGCAGATCAGGACTTAAGTGTATTTCRGATCTTGTATGTAAGGATGATTTTGCAGTAGTGAGTAAATGACACTTTTTTAAAAATAACTGTATCCCCTGATGGATTGGGGGAGGGGATGAGGAAAAAGTAATTTATTGGTTATTCTTCCTTCTAAAATGAAATATAAGAACAAATTTGGATGTTGAGTCATATTTAAGCATAGACACTCTGATCCACCAAGTCAAATCTTTGAAGATTTATCTGAAGTGTGCTAATTTAATCAGATAATCAAAATTAATTTGTTGTTTTCCAAGGAAATTGCTCAAGGGAATTTTTAGTTGTAGCCATAAACATGGGAAACTCTGAGCTATTGCCCTTSCAGTGTAAGATGGGATTGTTTCCAACTCTTTTTTTCCTTTGGTTTTCTGTTGGAGAACTGATGAGGCCTCAGCTCGTATTAGGTTTCACTGCACTGCTCTTGTGTGGCAGCTGTTGTACAGTCTTCCTAAGCGCAAGGCCACAGTTAAATATGGAACAAGATACTGTGTGTTTAAATGTCTACTGTAGTAAAATATACGCCAAGTTCATGATGTTGTTATTGCAATAGATTCCCACGTATATTAAGAGGGCTCTATATTGGCTAGCCTCTCTGACATTAAGAATATGTCTCATATAGTAATATCTAGAAGGTTATTCTGGTAAACTATACTACTTAAATCTATCTTGTGTACATCTGTCTTTTGCAAGTGTTTTATGGATGACAAGCTGAAGTAAAAATGAGGATTCTGGTCTTCAGGTAGCACTCATCTGAACAACAGAGCTAAGTGCTCAGGTGAAGGAATGTTTTTAATATCACCAAAAATGACTTGGATGTAACAGTACTTTGCTGTGTCCTTTCACAATAATCCTTAGGTTCAATAATTTGTATGTTGGGAGGATACTTGAGGTAGACTCTCTTACCCTGGCTAGGTACTGCCTCCTCCCTGCCTTTTGTATTGGATGTGKGTATTAAAAAGGAAATATTCAGCTTTGATGCCGCTGGTTGTGTCTTTCAGATTGGTCTATACTAGTAAAATGACAGTGCATCTTTTCTGAAATGAAATGCAACATTGCATGCAGGCAATAAGAAAAATTAGGCTAAACAGCTCGAATCAACTATATTGTGCACAGAAATGCTTCAGACAGGGGCCTGGACCCGAGCAGAAGGGGAGCAGGAAAAGTAAGCATTGCAGACTAGGTATAAAGAAAGACCTAGTTCAAAGCATCACTGTTGCAACAAGGCTTGTGTTTGTGTACGTTATAAATGTTCAGTATTAGGTTTTGACTCCTGTTAGAAGAGGCCTTCCATCACATCAGAAGACCAAAGAAGTGGGGAGAGAACTTGTAGCTCAGCTGGTCTCTTCTCAACCATCTTTTGTTCAGTATTGCTGAGAGTGGTACTGTGCTGGAGAATTTGGGATTTTTTTTTTTAGCTACATAAGGATGGTTTAAGTTGGTATGTGAAATTGATACAACTTACTGTGGCCTCTTACTGAATTTTGGCAGGATTCTCCTTCTTGAACAGCAGAGGAAATTAAGAGTCTATTTACCACCACTGGAGGGATTAAGCTGCCCAAAAAGGCCTTACGTAGCGAGGAGTCCAACACTTGAATTCTTTAGATTTCCATCTGTTCTGTTTCTGACACTGCAATCTGGGAAGCACTGGCAGTAAGCTCTTCTGCTTGAATTGTAGAGAGCAGAGATTCAGTCAAAGGTGGGTTCAGAGACTTGCTGGAGAACCCCTAAAATAATTGGTGGTTGTGTGTGAATTTCCAAATAAATGAAATCTAAAACAACAGAACAGGCCTCCTCTCTTCCTCTGAACATTATTTAGTTTTTATGTCATCCTAAGAAATTGGTGGCATTAAAAAGCCACCACACAACTTTGAGTGACAGTAGATTCTTTTTTTTTTCCCCCCCGCCTCTTTCCTCTGTGTTGTTACTATTTTGCTAAATGGCAATGATGGTTCTGTGGCTTTTTTTTTAAGTAATTTCTGAAAAACCACCTTTTCTTTCTCTTACTGATATAAGTTTCATTGTTTCTGTGGAGCACTTGATTTCAGTGTCTGTTTAAAGCAGCTGATGAAAATAGAAGTGCACAGTTGATACTCACTTTTACAACGTGCCAGTTTTCTACTGTTCTGTTAGAAAAACCAGTCTCTTCCAGTAGCAAGGCAAACTATGTCAAGTGACTTAAAACTCGTTTATCTCAGAGCTGTAGAAAAATTTGCACACTTTGTTAAATTGTTTTTGTTTCACAATATTGAAAAAATTAATAAAATACCAAAAAGTGAGGTGCTTTTTTCTTTGAGAGATTTCCTTCAAAACTAATGTGCTTTGCAGAAACTGTGGTGTCTTTCATGTATATCATCGCCAAACTAGTCACAAAATTGCCAGAAGGACTATAGCAGCATCCTTACCATTTATTTATAAATTTATTTTTATAACCTTATTTATAAAACACTTTGAATATAAAATTACGATGATTTTTAATATATAAATACCTAGTATTAACTATATTGAAATCTTAGTTGCTTCCATAGTATCTGCTAACTATGCTATCTGCACAGTAATGAAGTGGAATCATTGAACATGAGAACCAGAGCTTGGCTAATAAAGGAACTGCTTTTTAACTGCTTTTGTTAAGTGCTTCATAAAATCTTCAAAGATTGTAATTATTTACGAGTTAATATTTTGCACTAAGGGAGTTGGAGTTTGCTTGCACTGTGGGGTGGATATGAATCACAGAAGGAACTCCAGAACACATCAGCATTGAGACTTGCCTTTAAAAACACATTGTTTAAGGAAACAAACTTGTCTTTAAAAATCTGTTGTTTTTTTTCTGTGGTTTGTTTGTTTGTTTGCCTCTGGGGAAGGGTCACATTAGAATAGCTTGAAGAAAAGAATTATTTTTATGCTGCTTTTTGAATGAGGCAAGTGAAGCAACCCTACTTGATGTAGCTAAACTTTGTGTTCTTGTTCTTTAACTCTTTTTTTTTTTTTTAATACTACCTTTTTCATTTGCTGTGTTTGGTGTTTGTTTCGTAAGCAAGAGACACAAGGGGTAAGCCTCCTTGGATAATGCCTCTCACACGCCGTGTAACCAGTTTCCTTGCTAATGAGTAAGGAACCACGTGTCTRGGCTGCTGCTGCCATGCCACATTATTATTCTAAAATTCAACGTTATCCCTGTGTCACAGCAATCTTGGAGACTAAGCACTAACACAGTGGAAGATTTRCTGTATTAGGTTTGTTAGAGATGAGATGTAATACTTTATTGCTGTCAGCAGCCTGGTTCTTAGGTATGGCTGTAATAACTAAATATAAGAGCAAAGCACCATAGTTCACCTGTATAAGCTCTTACGGAGCAGTCTAGAGCTTCTGTATCAAGTAGTTGTCTTTTCTCCAAAGCTACAGGTGAGCTTTTCTGTGTTTATTTGTTGAGGCTTTGGAGACCATGTGACTTCTGGCCACTCAGTGAAAATCATTTTTTTTGTATCTTCATGATAAACTTACAACCAGCCACTGGTTTGGGTTTTTTTTTGGTTTGCTTTTTTAAATAATGGAATAAAATTAGTCATAAACCCATGAACCTGCAAAATTTCTCTTTGCAAGATGGATACTGTGTAAAATTGTCACCAATATGGGGTTTTTAGAAGATCTGAAGGCRTAACAACCAAGTTTCTTACAAGGTTAATAGGTTTCTCACCTATCACATTTCTTGAATCCCTGTATGTTGATGTGCCCATCTGGGGCCAATAGTCTTCCTGCTCTAGCAAGAGAATTGGATACGCTGCCTTTTTTAAAGAATTCTCAGACCAGGGACCCTCCT